TTCCATTCACTGTCCTCAGACTCCGTGTGTAAATTTTCCCTGTTGACAACACAGTGATGTAAGAAAACATGAACTTCTACTTTTCTCCAGGACTCTGTGAATCCCTGAAACAAAATGAATCAATTCAAGAATTAGCAGGTCTTTTAAAGTGCAATGTAGTAGAGTAGAAGCATCTTGGGGAGGGGGTCTATAAATCTGGAATCTTTTGTTTTCTAATTTCTTCCACTTGCTATATCATGTTCTATGTAGCCTTTGGAGTCAGATATCCATTCCTGGCCATATTACATTGGACAAGTTATTTAACCACTCTGAGCCTCAGATTTCCCTATTTGAAAAATAAAATTCTGTAAACATGTAGCTACATCTCCCTACAATTCTGAGCCAAGTTCTGTGCCTAACTTTTCTTATGAGGGGCAGTGGATACTTTCTGCCTTGGTACTCCAAGAAGACTTCAATGGATATTCACACACTTGAAGAAACTACGATTGTGCAGGAATTTACAATTAACATGTTTGAAGTTTTATTACAGGATGTTTTTGAAATCTTGGCAAATCTTTGTTTCAACTAGAAATTTCCTGACCCGACAAAGATAACTAGCAAAGGTAGAGATATCAGCTCACACTTAAAAAAAAAAAAAGTGACTTGAATTTCTAAAATTTGCCTGGGAAAAGGTTAATACATGAAAAAGTCACTTTGCCTAAGAAAGGCAATTATTGCCAATAAAGATTGGTAAACTTCTCAGTTTTTTTTAAAAATGGGAGATTCTTCCCTGCTCCTTTATTGGATTTATTCGGTTTGTTCTTCAGGATTAAGGAGGCAGCTACATCCTAATGTTCATTCAATTTTAGGATAACCACAAAGGTTTTATGAGTGTGAAATGCTAGTTACACAAATATGAAATGGATCTGTGATGAAGGTACTGGGTATATGATAGAACATTCCCAAAGGCATTTCACCGGGGACCTCAGTTTTCCTTCTAGAACATCAGCAAACAATTCAAAATTAATGTAGCATACCATGCAATTTGCTATATTGCTACACTAGCCTGGTAATTTTTTTCCTCACTGTATAAAAACTAATTAGTTAAAGGGCAATTCAAATGAAACTTTTATTGGGGGGATTTAGAAGTATTAAAGCAAAGGGGAAAAGACAGCAAACATACACTGAAGCTCTCTGGATAGCATGAACACGATTATTAATAACCCTTGGGTGGGGAAATGATTAACCTTGTTATTTTCCTCACGATCCAAGTTTCTACAATAAATTGGCACTGCACAAAAATATTTAGATGCTGTATGGAAAACAACTTTTACAAGGTCTCCAACTGGCATCAAATATTTTCAAGTATGAAAACATCTCTGGGCTTTCTCAACAGGCTGATGGATCCCTGCAGGTAGCACTTCCCTTGTTTAATAGTCCTGCCAATTAAATCAAATTAGAGATGAATTTTTAACTCTGTGATGAAGGCAATACTCATTATAAGAGAAAACAGGAAAATGAGATATTTCCCTTAAGTGAATTGCTGTTTCAAATTGAATAATTTGGGGATGGCAGAGGCCGGGGAAAGGGAGCCAAACAACTTCATCAATATTCTCTGCTTTATAAGCCATCATGTCAGTCATATGAAAGGAAATAATCTATAGGCAGGGTCACCAGATATTTATGTCTTTCTTTTCTTTTGTTGGTCTTCTAAGACATTTCTAATTATTTAAAAATTCCAAGTCTTTCTTGATGTGATTTTCCATTTCATGCATGGTTGGCCTTTAACCTCTAACTCATCTGTCATTTGCTTTTGTAGGAAGTGATAATCACCCACACAAAGCTATTTGTTCATTAGGCCAATTCTTGATTGTCTAATTGTGCTATTTGTAATATATAGTTTAACATAATTAGTAGAATCATTTGCTTTGAAGGACTAAGGGTCAGATAATATATGCTAGAAGTCAATGTTTAATTTATCACTTTAACTCATTTATCACTTTATACCCGTTACAGGTCAACTATTAATTTGGATCATTGCATCAACACATGTTCTCGTAAATAAAACTGTGAATGTTTACTTATAAGTATACTTTATTTAAAAAAAGCAAAACCTGAATGAATTGGTACCACATCAGGTAAGGTGAAACAAAATATTGATGAGAAGGCTCCTGGGCTGCCGATCTATTTTGGGATTCATTAATTGCTCACAATATCATCAGTATTTTTTCAGCCATGGTCAAAGCACATCAAAAGGAGTGAGTTTTAAATCAACTACCCTTGGGATGTTTGGGAAACCTACTTCCTAACAGATAGACAACAGCAGGTACAAATGACCTTAATGGGAAATTTGTTTCAAAAGTATTTTTAACAGATGATCGGAAAGGATGACTGCTCTGTCCATGTATGCCTTAATACAGGCGTGACAATTTGAGATCTATACTGAAATTTATCTGGACTCCCAAAACTTTAGTTGTTGTGTATATAGCATATGTATGTAAACTTATGGTTACACACATCAATAATTTACATCAATAATATACATCATTTATTTTCTTTGAGATACACTTTGATGATTAGAGTCTCATGGGTGTTATATTTGTTGTAATGGTATCTTCCTTCATAGCTTGTGGAATGATGCTCATTGATTTCTTCTTTGGGGTAGGGGAAAAAGCCCTGGCAAACACCCAAACTTAGTTAGAAATCCAAGCAGCTTCCTCTTCTCTGACTTGTCCCTTGGAAACTCCCTTGCCATACCCTCTAGAACAGGCACCAAATTGTCTACAGGGGAATTCTTGCCCCTTGGAGAGAAAAGAAATACCCCATGCACGCGGCAAGCACCTTATAAGCCCACAAGAAGGAACTTGCAAATGCCATTAAAGCAACCTAGAAGATACGATCATATTTGATGGTTTTATCATAAAATCTCTGTACCTTAAAAGCCAGGCAACAGGCAAACTAATCATGTGTGATGTTGGGTGACCCCTGGGAGCTCTTACATCCTGCTTGCTGGAAATCTGAGAAAACACCCATTGCATTCGAAGCTGAGAAGCCCTAGGTGTACTGAAGGCAGAGTACAAACTGTCACTTTGAGACAAATGGTTTTTGTCGAAGGTATTATGAGCTAAATTTTCCTAGTTTCCTGATAGTAAAGATTAATACATTTTCCAAAGGCACAACAAAGCATCCTTTCAGGTCACCACTGATTTCAAAATAAAGGAAAACAATACTGGAATTTCCCAATTCAGTATGTAAAAGGTCAACATCTGCTGATGCTCAGAGATGGGGGATGTGGTGAAAGCTGCCGAATGAGATGTTGAGTGAGCAGTACAGTCAGAGGGTCCATGCAACACGCAACTGGCACTCTGAACAGAACACAACCAGCGCCAGAGAACTACTTTTCCATCCATCCATTTCTGAAACTTTTACAGGCCAGGTCGCAAAAGCAGCCTCAGTGATTTGTTTAAACTTGGTTCTGTTTGGTTCCCTTTTTCTCTGAAACACATATGCAAATACAATTGTCAAGGCCTGAAAGGAGCACACTGTGGGGTACCTGTGCAGTTAGGCAAATGCCCTGGGAGGTGGGTACTCTGGCAGAAAATTTAGACTATTAAAGCTGTAGGCTCTCATTTGCCAGGTTGCAGCACTGATACTATTTTGGTTAAGATCACAAAGAGATGCTGTATTATTAGCCTGTGAACAATAAATGGATGTGAATGCTACCGCTATTTACAAAGCCACTGATTTTCATGCCATTTAACATGTCTAGTGCTGACAAATCAGTGTCTGGGCCTATTCACAAGCTTAAGTAAACAAGGTTGGTTTCTAAATTGGAGAACCTGACTGTGCATTTTCAAGAGGGAAGTTGTTTTGTCCAAATTATCAGAGTATTGCCTTTTTGTGTGTTAGATATGGCAATGCTTCCACTGGGATCACCATGCCTGGTACAATTCTTATGACACAAGCCTTTTAAGGGTGACACCACAGCGAAAATTCTTTTATAGTGCAAAACTGAGGATCCCTCAGTACTTTATTTCTAATTGATATTCAGTTGTTTTTCCCAAGGTTTTAGCCATTGGAAATCCAGGGTGTAATGTATAAAAGTATGTGAAATTCTGCTCAAAATTTATTGGGCATATTCAGAGAGAGACTTGGTGTTAGAGTATCATTGCTTTATGTGCAAAGAGGGAGCTGCAGTCTGGGACTCTCATGGAAGTCAGAGAATGTTATTTTCAGTGACGCTGGAAAAGTGTTACACAGAGGGTTGAAGAGAGATTCGTCTTCAGTTGCTTAGATTTTTACAGAAAAGACTTCTTGCTAGAGTTTCTGGTCCGCTGACTCCTAAATTCTGAATATATTTTTCATACCCCTTCTCTATCAAATATAAACCTAAGTACTCAAAACATGTGGATCACGGTGTTTTAGGAGGAAGAAGTGGACATACTGATTATCTTTTTTCCTTCATTCCTCCAGATAGACTAATGCTGAATCTGCCTCTTTCAGGCCTTCACAAAACCTCGAGTTTAATGCATTAACAAAATTCCCTCCTCCTCTTTTCATGCCCCCTCCTTTTTGGTTCTAATGAATATGCTCAAGGCATCCATTGGTATTCATTCTCTGCTTTTCTAAATTATGTTAGAAATCCATATCCAGTCATAGAAAAAGAGTTCAATTTGATTGTTGACTACTATGTATAGGTAAATAGGAGTGTTTCCATTTTTGCCAAATGAACTACAGTTTCCAAGTTATTGCACCTCTGTATAGGTGGCCATCATTGGTCAAAAGTATTCAGGAAAGCTTTGGCTCTGACATATCCACAGGAGAGTTGTGCATAAATAACTGTTCCGTGTTCTCACCATGTCTGTGCAGAAAACCGACACAAAAATGCAATTCACAAGGAAAATGCTGTACTGCATCAGAAATGGACATTGGGAAAATAGATCTGAGGAGCCGAACAACAAAGCAAAGCTAGCCTAGACTTGGTTTGGTGATTTTTTTTTTTGTTGTTGTTGTTTACTTACTACCGATACTGGAAATACTGGGAATACCTGCAGAGAAAGAAAACAGTAAAGAAAAACTGTTAGCTATTTCTTAGTACATGACATCTTTAACTTAATATATAAAGTTAAGAAACTTGATACATGATAACATTCAGAACATTAAGTTTAGCATAGAAAAACAATTAAACCAATTTGTTTTTATTTTTGAGCTCCTGGGCTGATCAGAGTTGGAAAATTAATGTTCAACTTCAACAGCTGGTGTAAGGAAGCCTCATGGTGGCAAGTATTTTGTGTTTGACTTTAAGGTTCATGGATATTTGTTTGTGGTTCAAAATAGGTACTGAACTAGGCTTATGTTCTGGGAACAGCATACCAAATATCCACTGTGTGAACCTGTGCAAATATATCCACATATGCAATAAATCTTTTTAAATGTGTTATGAGATGCATGTGCTAGCTGTTGAAAATCATTTGGCACTTTTTTGATTAATTTCACATAACCATCATTTTTATTCGTCCTTTACTTGTCAGATATGTGGATTAAACCCTGTAATAGAAACTTAATTGAGCAGAATAATTCAAGAATACATTAGGTAGTTCATATTGATCATGGACCTCATTGATTTTCCACCTTTCAGTTTAATTCACAAGTTGTGCTAAGGTAGTGGAGCCATTTCAGAATATGGCCTAACTTGGGATGTACGTAGACATGAATTTAGTCTGTATCCATGTTAAAACTTCTAACCAAGCAATACATATCACTGTGGTCAAGAGTAGAGGCTCAGGAGTCAGGCCATCTGAGTTCAAAGCATGGCTCTGACTCCTAAATTCTCACCAACTGTGTGACCTTGGGGCAAATTGCTTATGCCTTCAATTACATTGGCTTAGTCTCCTAACTCTCTGGGTTGTTGTAACGATCATATAAATTGATAGATGGAAAGTCCTCAGATATTGCTGCACAAGTTGTATGTGTTGTATCTATCCTTGCAATGATGACCATTATTGCTATGGTTGGTTCACCGAGCAACACTCTTATGAATATTGCTAGTTAAAAGTCAGAGACTTCCATGCTCACCACTAAATCTGGGTGGTGATGGGGGTGAGAGCATGAGTTTGGAATCACAGACCTGTGGGACAGTCCTGCTTTGCTACTCATGAGTTGGCAAGTTCCCTAGCTTCTGTTTCCTCATCAGAAAAGGGACCAGTACTAAAACTCTCTGAGGCTGCTGTGAGGATTGAACAAGATAATCCATAAACATGTCTGACACATGGTACATAGCCAATAAATGATAGCTGTTAATAAGCTGTTCAACTTGTTCTTCACATCATTGAACTGCAGTAACAGGTGTTAACTGTAAGAATCATTATGCTTTTATTTTAGTACTTCTCTTTGAACAACTGCCCTCTACTTATTTTAACTAATCATTGTACCCTGCTCAGAAATTTCTAGGTTGGCATTTTTTAAAACGAAGAGATATTTTCTTATGTCTGATAAGAAAGGAGAAAGTGAGGAATAAAGGCTTCCTAGGTTTTATTTACTTTTTTTTAACCCTGAAAGGAATGAAATCTTACTTTCATTTTTTAGATACATTAAAAACCTCTTGATGTTAAATACTCAGAGTTTATAGTGTTTCAGCTTAATTACTGATCTCCGATCAACCCAAACTGGAAAACTAAATTTCCATTTCCATATTTTAACTCCATTCTATGAACTGAATTTCAAGCTGAATGTAATTTCTGTGAAGAATGGCTGGCTTCCTGACTCTGCACTTCAGTAGACTGTCTTTGCTGCAGTGTGACATTGACTTGGGACTGAATCTTTCTTTCTTTTTTCCTTTGTAAATTCCCCATTGGGTTAGGTATGATAGCAGCATCAAAATTTTAGAATCAATTGCAGAAGCTCCAAATTTCCCCCATGATTGAACATCCTGCTCCACTGCAGGGAACTGCTTGCCTGTTGTAATCCATCAAAGAGAATGGAAGTTAAGATGGCCGAAGAGACTTCATGTGTTTTCAAACTTACATGGAGTCCGAAGTTCTTGGGGTGTTTGGCAAGACACAATGGAAAGCAAATTTGCCAGATTGTTTTATGCAGTACTTGCTGCAATTGAAAACTTCAGAAAGACATAGAAATGTTTCCATCCCCTTGGGGATACCAGTGCAGGAAAGTCATGTTCATTCCAAGAATATACGCCACGCCAGACAAGGCCGTTCTGAGATCCTATTTTCCTCATGAAGATGTTATTGCCTAGCATTGGCTGCTTAAAATTCAGGTTCTTCTTCATTTTGTGGTTTACAATTTTTTTGAGAGATTGCCAGATGACTCACTTTCTATTCCACTGCAGTAAAATGGGAATTGCTTAGAAAAGATTTTTAAACTGCTCATTTGGATAAAGATTTTTGAAGTTGAAAATATCTGAACACCAACAGTGTCCATTAGTATAGTTTCAGATGCTGTTTTTTTTCCTAATGGTTCTTATTTTACAATGTCCAAATAATACCTTGTTTTTGGTTGCCTGCAGACACCTAAAGAATTTCATAAACCTCTCACATCTATTAAAAAGGCTACAAGTAAGCCATGAGAGATCCTTCAAACACTCTAGAATATAAGATAGGAAGGCCTGGAAATGAATTTCAGCAATTCATTTCATGAAAGGTGGGTGCCTTTAGGGCCTGTGAGGAATGAATCAATGAATTCGATTGCATCTTACAACAGCGACTGTGACCATAAGCAACAAAAGTGAGTCAGATTATGCTGAGGAAAATTGTCTAGGCACATGTTGGCAGTTTAAAACATTCCCTGTGATGTGACATCTATTATGTAAAGAATATGTTTACATTTAAAACTGGGCTCAGAAGTTATTTCTTCCCTTTCTTTTTCATACCGCTGATGTGAGGTAGCTGCTCTCTCCTTTGTGATCTCACAGCCCTTGGGTACAGGTCTCCATGATCAATATATCAATTTATTTGTGATTGTTTTTGCTTTTGCCTGAGAGCACCAAGGGGACCTCACCCTAATCTTATCCTTTCTGCGTCTCTATATCTGCCCGGGATGATGCCTGATACCTAAGAACTTCACAATGTGTATTTACAAAAATACCTAAGAACTTCATAATGTGTATTTATGTGTTTCCATGAAGGTTCCTATCATTGTGAAAACATCATTTTTGATCATAGCATAACTTTTAAAGATATTTTTTAGTTGTAGAAAGACACAATGCCTTTATGTGGTGCTGAGGATTGAACCCAGGGCCTCACACATGCTAGGTGAGTGCTCTATCACTGAGCCATATCCCCAGCCCCCATAGCATGATTTTGTCCCCTATAAAGTGTTTCACTGAAATTGAATTCAGGCTTAAGGAACTTTTTTGTTGTTTTTGCATTCATAATGCTCTTCGGATAGCAAGAGTTATGTGTAGATTTCTTTTCACTGCTTTGTTTTTAATGAAACTCAGAGGCTTGAGCACAAATGGGTCCTCATCTGGGGAAACTGTCCAGCACTTAATGTTTGGATCATTTTCTTTCTATTCCTTTTCTCAGATCTTCCTTTTTAATTCTCATTTTGATGCTATTATTTCTATCTTTCTATTTCTCTAAGCCATCCAGAGGGAATACAGATTTTTGTGGGGCCTAGAAGGGCATACGAATTTGAGAGCTCTCTTTAAGACAAAGGACATATTATTAAACTATAAATTTAGACATGAAACTGAACTTTTTTATTTGGAAAGAATCAAGTGAGGAACCTGAAGTTTGGTTTTATTAGGGAAAATCCATCTCTGAAACAACCTCAAAACTACTTAAGACAAGTAGCTGATAGGAAGGTAAAAAAGAAGGGAAGGAAGAGAAAGACAAGAAAGGTTAATTCTCAAGAGTGATAAAAAATTTGAGAACTGAAGGGAACTGAAGAAGTCATCTAATTCAGTCCTTCTGTTTTACAGAAAAGGCATAAGGAGGTGCAAGTGCCTTGTCCAAGTTGTCCCTTCCTATTGAACATTGAGGTATGTCATATCTGGTGTCTGAGACATTGCTAAACTTGCACTGAGGAAAGGAAGCACAGACATGCATGAGCTTCAGAGAAAGTTTCTGTGATACACAGTATATGATCTTAGTACTAATACATCTTCTAGAATAGAAATATTACATCAGCGGACAAATACATACAACTCACAGGGCCATTGTGCTACCACCTTCCAGAAGAATAAGGGGAGACTTGGCTGGTAGGTATTTGCAGTCCTTCCCTCCTCAGTGAGCCCTTTCTACACCCACATTTGTTTCAATGATTTGTTTTAAAGGAATTTATGTTGCAATTAGACAGATACGAACCTTATAGAATTATATAATATGATATTTTCTGCTTCTTGTTCTTTAAAAAAATAATTTACTGTCCCTCCCCCACCAAGCAATAACTGAAGGGTGGGTACATAATTAAGATGCTCATTCGTATATTTTCAGATGCTGCTTTTTTCCCCAATGGTTCTTACTTTATAGGGTCCAAATATGGAAGTCAACATGATGGAGATCTCAAAAATAAATACCCCGATCTGCAGAAGCAGATTAATGCAGTGCTAAAATCTATAACTCCTTTTGAGAATCAATGGAAGGTTCAGCAGCTTTTCATCAAGAAGGAAGCAGAAGGGATAAGGATTCAGCATGCTTCAAACTGAAAGGAAAAATTACTACTGTTGTGATAGATGGTTTAACACAACCCATCAAGCAGGTGACTAGATCTTGCAGGCAGACTGTAACCATCGGGAGCTCTAACTCCAAAAAGGCTAGTTGAAGAAGAAGTAGGTAATGAGTAAGAAAACATTCTGCAGATTCATTTATATTCTAGAGGAATTACTTCCAATGTCCTTCCAGCCTGAATCTCCCATCCAAACAACTGTTGATGGGAGGTGTGGTGAATTGTCTCCCAGGAACTTGCAAGTGAGGGAAATAAGATTGCTTCACAAAATTTTGCTGCAAAATTATCAGCTAAATGATCCAAGAAGGGAGAATTCACATTACCTATGGCCATACAAGGGCTCTGAGACCCGATTGCACACGGC